TGGGCAGGTATGGGGGCACCTGGGCAGGTGTGGAAGGCACCTGGACAGGTGGTTTTAAAGTGGGCATATAGGTATGTGCTGGCATGTACATCTGAACAGGTATGGTGGCACATGGGCATGTGCAGGGGCAGAGTAGGAGAGTCCCCTGGAGGTGCAGCCCCCGGGAGCTGACAGCACAGGGGACTAAGGTAGGAGCAGGGCAAAACTGGACTGAAGATTGTTTGGGCTCTCAGGTGGGAGCCTCTCTAACGAGTCCATGCTGTCCTGCCAGGGATCAGCTGGACTGGCAGCCCACCTGGCTCTGCCCACCCTGTCTAGCTGCCCTGCTCAGTGATGCCAAGGTGCTGCTCTGAACAGAGAAATGAGGATATGACGGCCCCACTTCCCTACGGGGTGATCCTGAGCCTTCCCTCTTCTTCTCTTCGAAGGACTTCAGTTTGTCAAATGAAAAAGATGCCCACGCCAGTGACAGCGATGAGAACTCAGAGCGTGGCAACTGGTCAAACAAAGGCGACTACCTGCTCTCCATGGTGGGCTACGCTGTGGGCCTGGGCAACGTCTGGCGGTTTCCCTATCTCACCTACCAGAATGGCGGAGGTACCTGTATTGAATGGCAGTGTTGGGTGGGCACACCTTGCTACCCTCAAGAGAGAGAGGAGGGCCAGCTCCAAGGGCCAGCCCTGAGGTTGGGCACATTTTGTTAAAGCTGGGCATGAGCATTACCCTGGGAAGTGGGATAGTGCCTGCTGATGGGAATGGGAAGAGGAGTAAGAGGCATCTCTGCTTTTTGGGTACCAGCTGAGGGGGGAAATAGTATTTAGTTTTAATTGCAAACTTCCACCTGAGAATTCTAGAACTCTTCTGATTTACTCATGTCCAACATTGCTTCTTTTTGTCAACATGCCAATTTTCTCTACTTACCTAAATAGCTATTCTCCCTCCCCCGTGCTTACCTCCCTGATATGTTTATAGAGAGCAATTGAATCCCCCCTCAACCTTTGTTTTGCCAGGCAAACAAGCTAAGCTGGAATAGTTATCCAAGGTCAATAATTATCCCCATCAGATACTTGGGAAGTGTGAGGCAGAGAGAGCCTCTACCTGCTTGCACAATGAACTAGTGGCAAAGCCAAATGGAGGCATTGGCTTCCCTGCCTGCTATTCCAGAGCTTTGTCCACTTGCCAGGCAACCACCGGTAATTAAAGGGAGCATAAACACCAAGTAACTGCAGAGGACTTACTTGTATCTACTTATTTGCTCTGCCTGACAGTAGTTGGAAGTCAAACTCTGGACTGTAAATGCAGCACAGCCCATACAGCTGCGCATGGAACACAAGGTGGCATTCTTGGTACAGAAGTTTTATTGGAGTGGGTTTGGCTGGATTGTGTTACCTACAGTTTTGTTGAAGAAATTATGAAAACAAAACAAGTTGTGACATCCACCCTTCTACTAGCTGTTTTTTCTTATCTGCTGCAGCAGAAAGCTTTGCATTTAACGCATATCTGTGCTGCTGCTTGTATCCTGCTCTGTGCCCCTTGCTCATGATTGATAAAGACAACTGTTACATCCTTGTTTCGAAACACAGGAATAATCCGGTTAATTCTGTGGGACTATTTACTTCCTTAAATTACAGCAGGTATTTGCACTTCCTTGCAGAACTGGGTCCTTGATTGCTTTAAGGTCACTGAGAGTGAAGAGGACAGATTTCTGCAGGGATATTGGGTCATGTTTATGAAACTTGTGCTCTCACTTTCCCTGTCTTCTGTGCACACACAAAGAAGTGCCAGTCCCTTTCACAGAACAGAGCTGTCATTGATATCAGGTTAATGTGCACTTTAAAATGGACTCAAACAAGAGCCACGCTGAGATGCTGTTTGACATAGGAGTCAACCAACCATAGAAAATAATTTTCATGCTTTGACGTCCAGTAGCTACTTGAACAGGGCAGTTGCAAATCACAGCTAAGTACATGAAGGAATGGTTCTGTTCCTTTTTAAATTAAAAGCTGGAAGATAAACTAGAAAGCAGACAAAGCCGATGGTGTCTACAGCTGGGCAGTGTTTGTGCTTGTATGAGAGCAGTATGTCTTCAATGGTTTTTGTAAAATAGTTTTAGTTTTTTAAGAGAAGCCATCCCATGTAAATCACCAGTTCTTCTGGCAATATGTCTCTTCATCACACCTACTGTTCAGTCTTACAGAAAACTGGATTTACAAACAGATCTCTGTATTCTGCAAAAGGCAAAAAGCCCCACAGTGGGAGGTGAGGGAAAAAGGAGAGTATAAAATGTGATAGAACTGTGGTGAATACTGAAAGATTCACTGTATTCTCTGTGTGTGTGTTTGTGCTTGTGTTTTTTTTTCCCTCTCTCCCTTCAGGTGCTTTTCTAATCCCGTACACCATGATGTTGGCGCTAGCAGGCTTGCCCTTATTTTTCATGGAGTGTTCCCTTGGGCAGTTTGCCAGTCTAGGGCCAATTTCTGTCTGGAGAATCTTACCATTGTTTCAAGGTTGGTATTGTTATGTTTCCTTAGATCTTTTTTATTCTAGTAATGAACAGATATGAGTTAATGATTTCTTCACAAAGTTACTAATTCTGAGAAGCTGATTTCCGTGTAGAGAATATTCCCAATGTTACAAGGTCAGTATTATGTTCCCAGATAGATCTTTCTTATTATTCAATTAATAAACAGATGTGGATTAAAGATTTCCCCAAAAAGGTTGTCAATTATGAGAGGTTTTATCAATGATTCACCTGGTGTTATGCAGCACACCACCCTAACTGCAGCTGTCCAGGCAGAAGGAAATCACCCTGTTTGCTGTGTTAGGGAAAACCTCAGTTAAACACCTGGAACTGTGTGTAACACGTCAAAAATAATATTTAGAAGTTAACTTTATTGCTATTTCTTTACACTTTATGTCTTATGTAGCTTGCAAGGCAGTTTCATGTTGGATGGGCTAATTATGTATTTGGCTGCCAGCATTGGCACAGGCACGTGGGTCTGATTGCTTTATGCAATGCTGCGCACATATTCATCCAACTCACTGCCTTGGGAGTCATCTGCTGGTCTGATAAAATAGGTTAGACTCTGGCTTTGTAAGGTAAGGTGCCTCTTGTGATAAAAGAAATAGTTGCATTCTGTAGTGGTAACTTGCCTGTCCCTGTGAGGGTTTGAATTTCTCAAGGAGATTTATGTGTTTGGCAACAACTAACCATGTGCTTTACTCACTCCTGTACATCCAGGTCCTGTACCAATGGGTATAAAAGACAATGCAATTGCTCTTGTTTGTCCTCTTTATCTACCAGAGGAATTAATGTAGGAACAAGGAAGTTTGTTTCTGATGCAATAAGAATTTCACTTGCCACCTTCTACAGAAAGAAAAGGGATTACAGGCTGGCTGGTTGCTGGAACACTTACTCTTTTTGCCAGTCTCCATTCTGCAGCACAACCAACCTTTCATGAGAGCAGTGTATTTAACTTTAACGCAAAAGTCTGTAGACACAGCAGATCTTCTATGTGTCTGTAAAGATACAAACTTAAACATACTCTCTAAGATGATTGGGACAGTTTGGCAGACTTTCCCAAACTCACAGAACAAAGTTCATCTTAAAGGAGGCCAACAGTATTATTGGCACAGATTTACTGTTCTGTGTTGCTTCTTATTCATTGGCAAAACTATTCATTACAACGGGATCTTTAAAATGGCTTGGTCAGTGTAGTTTTTGTATAATTTCTTTTATTTTACTGAGCAATCAAAACTTCCCACTGAACAGGGAGAGAACAAAATCTTAGCGATTAGTCTGATTTTTCTGTGGTCCTGATTCAAACGCTGTGTCAGAATCACATTTGGGATGGTCAGTTTGGATCACAGCCCTCATTTCATGGCTTTACCCTGTCCTTGTTTTGTTGCTGTTAAAAATTATTTAAAAAACAAAAAACACAAAACCCAACCTCAACTTCTTCCCAAGCACCTTTTAAAAGTCAAGTGAAGGCCATTCTTTTTAAGACATTTTGTCTTTCTCTTTCCTAGGAGTGGGCATCACGATGGTCATCATCTCAACATTTGTGGCGATCTACTACAATGTTATCATTGCTTACGCACTCTACTACTTATTTGCCTCATTTCAAAAAGTGCTGCCATGGTCAGATTGCTTTTCCTGGGCAGATGAGTTCTGCAGCAAAACACGATTAGGTACCGTACTTAACAGATGGAGCTTAATATTACTGTTTTGGATAATTGTACTTTGTTCTGTTTTCTGAGAGAACTTACAGGAGCAAGGCAGCTACCTGTGGCTGGAAAAGTCCTTCCTGAGCACACATCTCAGAGCACACAGGTGTGATGCTTGTCTGCTTCCCTGTCACCAGTTCTGGGTGCTTGGGAAATCTAGAGAGAGCTGGGCTTAAACCTCCTGTTGGATACTTTTTATTCTCTATTAAAATCTAAGATTTATTCTGGTAGATACATTCCCTGGAAATACTACATTCCCATTCCTTCAGGTTTCATGGCAAAGCAAGTATCTTGCTTACCTGAAGCGAGAGTATTGCTGTAGCTTTTATCGGAGGTTCTTTCATAGAATCATAGAACAGTTTGGGTTGGAAGGGACCTTTAAAGGTCATCTGGTCCAACCTTCCTGCAATGAGCAGGGACATCTTCAACTAGATCAGGTTGCTCAGAGCCCCGTCCAACCTGACCTGGAGTGTTGCCAGGGATGGGGCATCTCCCACCTCTCTGGGCAACTTGTGCCAGTGTCTCACCACCCTCGTTGGGAAAAATTTCTTCCTTATATCTAGCCTAAATCTACCCTCTTTTAGTTTAAAACCATTACCCCTTGTCTTATTGCAACAGGCTCTGCTAAAAAGTCTGTCCCCGTCTTTTTTATAAGCCCCCTTTAAGTGCTGAAAGGCTGCAATAAGGTCTCCCCAGAGCCTTTTCTTCTCTGGGCTGAACTCTGGAGAGTTCAACTCTCTCAGTCTTTCTTCCTAGGAGAGGTGTTCCATCCCTCAGATCCTTTTTGTGGCCTCCTCTGGCCCTGCGCCAACAGTCTTTGCTGTGCTGAGGACTCCGGAGCTGGACGCAGCACTGCAGGGGGGTCTCCCCCAAGCGGAGTAGAGGGACAGAATCCCCTCTCTTGACCTGCTGGCCACACTGCTTTGGATGCAGCCCAGGATACAGTTGGCCTCCTGGGCTGCGAGTGCAGATTGTCGGCTCATGTCCAGCTTTTCATCCACGAGTACCCCCAAGTCCTTCTCAGTAGGGCTGCTTTTTCATTACCCCTTGCCTCCCCACTGGCTATGGTAATCCTGAGCACCAGTGAGGCACTGGTTTCACACTTTATTAACTGTTTAGAACATATCTCCACGCTATTGTTCTTGATGTTTGGCAGCTCATGTATGGTCAAACAATTGTTATCTCACCAGTTTCCGTATCAGACCAGTTTAAGGCAAAGGTGAAGTTGGTGAGATAATTAGTAGTTAGTAGGTGGAAATGTGTTGCCATCTAACCTCTGAAATTATTAAAATAACAGGGACAGGATCACGATGGATTACATTACTTAAAGTGTTAATGTAATTGTCACTCCCTTAACCAGGTATCTGAAAATCTCTTCTAAAATTCATACGTTTTATAAAACGAAGTTGAGATGCTTTATTTAACAAAAAGATGATACTTACTTATGGGCTAAACAAAAAGTATTTTAGCTCTAAATTTGTAAGTGCTGGAGGAATAAAATAGCCACTCTCTGTCTCCTCCCTGAAGAAGCTGTCCTGAAATAGGCTTCAACAAGACTTTTTCAGTAAATGCTGATATAATGTTCTTTATTTACTCTATGTTCTGGCAAAAAAACCCAAAAAAACCCAAAAAAACCCACAAAAACTAAAAAAAACAAACAGTGCCCACCCCCCAGGAAAACGTTTAAAGAGCTCTAGTAAGCCCTCTGCCATAATAAGAAGTTGCTAGAGGATGATCTGTGTGTAACCTTGGCTTGGGACAAAGGTTTTCATAGAGTAACCAAGGCTACAATCTTAACTGTCCTTGCTTCTGGTTTTTGCATGTATTCTTGACGATAAGTGAAAGGTGGAGCTGTGCACACCAAATTCTTGGTGTTTTGATTTACAGTCAAAGTAACAGAGTCACAAGTCATAGTGCAGATTTGTTTCTAAATATTGTTAGTAGTTCAGGCAAACTGAAGCTGTAACTTTTTAGAAAACATATTTGCTGTAATAGTCTGATTGTTATAACAGTGATCACTGTGTTAACAATCCCTTTCTCTTGCTTGCTTGCTTTCAGTAAGTGACTGCAATGCAACCTTAGATGGAGAAATCATTCATGCAAACTACTCGTTCATCACAAGCAACAATCTCACATGTATCAATGGCACCATGAACTACAAACCAGTGCAATTTCCCAGTGAGCAATACTGGAAGTAAGTAAATATTTTAAAGAAATTGCTAAAAATGCATTTTTTATGCACTGTGGTTTTGAACGTATCTTCTATTTTTGTCTTGTGGTTCAGAAAGAACCTAGTCAAGGGGGGTTGGCATGCAAATCTGTGCAAAGGGGACCTAAAATTTGATTGATGCATCTGGGCCCTTAAAAAAAATTTAAAAATATAGAGAAGCAGATGAGTCAACTTGTAGCAAACTGAAAAGTGCTCCAGCTTAAAGAAGTCCTCTTCTCTGGAGTCCTGGTAGGAACTACTTAGCATCTTTATGTATAACATGTACTTTTTTCAAGAGTTACTGTGCAAAATATATTCATCTTACTCTGAATCTGTGCCTGTTGTGAAATTGCCATTTCTTTAGCCACATGGTTTCAATTTGCCTCATGTTCCTTGGGTTCCTGGGAACTGATTCTTCATATGGGCTCTTCTCTTGCCATCAGAATTTCATGATTAACACTAAAGAGCTGAGGTAGGCCTGATGGGAGATGTATGGAGAGCTGAGGGCTGGTAGATGTTAAAGAGGAGCAAAATGCAGTTAAATATTTTTTTTCAATGCAAATCATGCAATTCTAACTGCATGCTCATGGAAGGGGCTTCAGTGTCTTGCAATACCTGCAGAAACCAGTTCACTTTCCTCCAAGAAGTGGCTGAAGAGAAGGAGTGTGTGCTGCTGTCGCTGCCTTTTCATTGCAGCATTTTGTGCTTTCAGTAAAGTGGCTCTTCAGCGCTCGAGTGGGCTGGACGAGACTGGTAACATCGTGTGGTACCTGGCTCTCTGCCTCCTCCTGTCCTGGATGATTGTTGGAGCTGCTTTATTTAAAGGAATAAAATCATCTGGAAAGGTAAGTTAGAAAGAGCAGCTAGCAGACTTTTGGCCTGATCCTGCCCTTCCAATGTCAGTTGGACCCAGAGAAGATTAGGACAAGGCAGGATGCAGTCCTAAGCCACTACCCTCTGCCAGACTCAGCGTTAGACTTTATTTCTGCTCTTTGGCTTCATAACTGTTACATAAAATAGGAGTAACGTGCTGATTACGTAGCAATTACTTAACACATAGGTCTCTTAGCTCCACCAGGGCTGCTGTGTATTTGGGGATCTTGCTGTCATGCAGGTGATTCCAGCTGAGTTCTGGCAGTCACCTGGCCTGTTATGATGGACATGTGCATGTGACTGCACACGCACACACACACCCCGGGAACACCCGGTAATTATTTGCACCTCCAGACTAGTTGAGATGTTTAGACAATACAGGTCAACTCCTGTGAACAAATGTGCATGTGCAGGTTCCTGCCAGATTGTGAAATGTTGTTGGTACTCAAGATTTCAAGCTGCTTTTATGGACCAGGTCCATAGGTCCTCGTTCTCTAGCTCTGCTGAGCTCCCATTTCCACATGCTGGAGCACAGCTGCCTGGAGTATTCTTTGGGCTAGGTCAGCTCCTCTCCAGACTTCAGGGAGGCCGAATTTCATTCTTTCCTGCCTGAGGCCCTTTTTCTGGATTCATTCCTTCCTCCCCATACTCCTTTCTACCTCCATGTTGCTTCTTTGTCGCTTATTTCTTCAGTGTCTGTTGCCTTCATTCTTTCTCTCACCCTTTCTGCACTGATTGTTGTTTTGGTGTTGGTTTTTTTCTTTCAATTCCTTCTGTTGTTGTGCCTTTCCATGGTTCCTTGCTGCCTGTCTTTCCTTCCTCAGTCTGATGTCTCCTCCTATTCTGCTTTCTATTTGAAGCTTTCTGCCCTGCATCTCGGCACTTCAGGGCGGAGTATCTGTGCTTTCCCAGCCACAGTTGTTCTGCTGCATGGCTCCTTTTAAACTCACATTCTTTGGGTTCCTGGCAATTGGCTCTTCCTGTTGTCACATCTCTTCTGGCACGAAGGTAAGCCTCTTTGAGGAGTAAGGTAAGACTCAGAAGAATCTAGCTGGGCAGGAACAAGGCAAAGATGAAGAGCGGAGAGAATTGACTATTCTGGGCAAATATGAAGGAGGTCTTCAGAAACAGCAGACTCACCATATGATGGTGCAATGCTATGCCTTGTTGTAACTAGTTCTGGGTCAATTATCTGTCTGCGTAACACTGAAACTAAGACACGAGAAACAAGAGTTGTGTTGAATGTAACCTGCATGATAATAACACTGCTTAGCCCTGCTTCTGGCCTGGATCCCATCGTGCTAGAAATTGTGTAGACAACAAAAAAGATCTGTGTCTAAGAGAACATAAAAGTCCTTGTTCCCTGTAAAGAAAGCTTCCAGCATGGCTTACCCCTGCCTGCCCAGTCTCAGCAGAAGATACTTCCACCTAATTTTCATTGGCTTTCAATTCATGTTTGCTAGAAGCATGGCCTAGCAAGAGACCTCTGGGGTAGTTGAGTCCAGGCCTTGCTACAGCAGTAAATCATGTCAGGAAACACAATTCTGAAACTGGTCAAGTGCTATCTGAAAAGTGGATGTGTGGCTTGGGACTTCTGCTTCGGCTGGAATGCAGCTCCAGAACCGGCTAAGCCAGATGGTTTAGTGCTTGGAGTGTGTTCACCTCCAGTCTTGCTTCCCTGGTCACCTGTGTTTCATTTGTACCAGCAGACCTTACCTAAAACATGGCCATTCCTCCTGCATGGAAGTCTGTGCATCCCCTCGCTTCTAATGTGTCTCCCTGCCCTTCTTTCTGCAGGTTGTCTACTTTACTGCGCTCTTCCCGTATGTAATCCTGCTCATCTTGCTGGTGCGAGGTGCCACCCTGGAAGGTGCTCTGGATGGCATTGAATACTACATTGGGAGACAGTCCAATATCACCAAGCTGATGGAGGCAGAGGTGAGAGGTGGTGTCAGCCCCAGAAGCATGACACCCTTCTGTGGTTCTATGGGCTTGTCACTTACAGAGCAACTTCTTTTATCCAGTCAGGTGCTTCTTCATGTCCTGCACCGCATTTTATATGTGCGGCTAGGTTCTGTTTTTTCGGCAACCCTCAGCTCTGTTGGAAGTCCAAGCCCCTATTCTAGGTAATCTCAATCTAAACAAGAGCCACCCTCTGCCCCCTCCCTGCTGCACCAGACAGTGACGACAGCAGTGGTATTGCCTCTCAGCAGCTCTCGGGGGTCATGCTGGAGTTTCATCCTAGCAAGGCCTGCTAGGAAAAAGTTCTTGCTGTGGGATCAAGGGTTGCTCTCATATATGTCCCACTTGCTTGGTTGCTGATAATTTCAAGGGATTTTATCAGAAGGTTGGAGGGACCTCCGAGTTTGGAATTCACACTGTGCCTTGCCCAGGAAATTAGCTTGGGAAATCAGGTGGACCAGGAAGGAGACCTTGTGGAAAGGAAGCCTGGAGTTTTTTGTTCTGGCTTATGCCACCATTAGTTCAGTTTTACCAAAAGCAAACATTAAGTGCGATATTTATTTGTGGTATTTTATGTGAGCATTTGGGTTGCAGCAGAGGCAGAAGCAGTTTGTCTGGGTCATGGTGTGAGGAACACAAGTGGGAGAGCACATGGAAGTTCTCACTCCTGCAACTGAGTCCTGGTTTTCCTTATCCATCGGCACAGTGACGAGTCATATCTTGACAACCCATATATGTGAATGAATTGAATCTCTTCTTCAGGGCTAGCCCAATAAGACTTAAACATTTGGCAACATACTTGGGATGTGACCTTCCTGAGCTCATAGTTAGTGCTTGTTAGTGCTGATATTGTTAGTGCTTGAGACTGCAAGGTCACCAGCATGCTATATCCCACCTACTCTAAAAGTCAGATGAAGTTGTATTAGGTATTCAGGCTAAATGAAAAAAAAAGAAAAACAACAAACAAACAAAAAAACCCAACACACAACCCAAAAAACCCCCAACCAAACAAAAAACCCTGGAGCTTCCATAGAGGGCAGACTTAAATGGTTATGATACATACTGTAAGTAATACAGTAATTCCTATGTTCTTATTCCTGGTAGGTTTGGAAAGATGCAGCCACCCAGATATTCTACTCCCTGTCTGTGGCATGGGGCGGGCTTGTTGCTTTGTCTTCATACAATAAGTTCCACAACAACTGCTACTCGGATGCTATTTTAGTTTGTGTAACCAACTGCGTCACCAGTGTATTTGCTGGGTTTGCGATATTCTCCATCTTGGGACACATGGCATTCGTGTCAGAGAGACCCGTCTCCGAGGTCGTGGACTCAGGTAGACTGATCATTGCGCTGTCGATACTGGGACTTGCTTTGACCAAGGCACGACAATAACCTCCTTCCTTCCACTACTTTCTAGGATTTGATCTGGCATTTGTAGCCTACCCAGAGGCTCTCTCCAAGTTACCAGTTTCTCCTCTGTGGTCCTTCTTGTTTTTCTTCATGCTTCTGCTCTTGGGCCTTGACTCTCAGTTTGCCACCATAGGTGAGTGGGGTTTTAAGTAACTCATGGCTTTTCAAATGACCATTACCTTTCTTAATTGTGCTGCTTAAAACCCCCACTTCTTCCCTTGCAGAAACACTTACAACCACCATACAAGATATATATCCTGAAGTGATGAAAAAATTAAGAATGCCTATAACTCTGGGTGTATGCATATTGCTCTTCTTTCTTGGTCTTATCTGTGTTACTCAGGTAAGACACTAAATTCGTTTTTTGGCTGTGGGTTTAGTTATGCTATAAGTGAGGAACTCAAATCAAAATATCCTTTCAGCTGTTCCTGTGTGCATGGATCGATCTGAGAGACACTTGAATTCTGCCAGTGTGCCTAGACATGCAAATAAATTCCCACAGGAAAGCTTGAAGAACCTAAGGTTTTCTGTGATTATTGAGCTGAGATGTGCTTTTAAATAGAATGCCTGTACAGAGCCAGTGAACCATCAACCTGATTTATTGCTCCTCAGTTCAGGAGGTTATTTGTGTAATCTCAAGCATACACATACAGTGTGTGTGCAGCACTGTGGGTACTGCTAATAGATGCTGATGGATCTTTTTGTTCAGAACTGACTACAAGCAGGACAGGATTTGAGATATAGCCTATTCATGACATAAAAACCTATTAGTCACAAGCATGGGTAGACTGTAAGGTTACTTCTCCAGTATGTATGTGTGTGTCTAAGCCAGGGGAGGTTTAGATTGGATATTAGGAAAAATCTCTTCACTGAGAGAGTGGTCAGGCATTGGAACAGGCTGCCCAGGGAGGTGGTGGAGTCGCCGTCTCTGGAAGTGTTCAAAAAACGTGTGGATGTGACGCTTCAGGATATGGTTTAGGGGACATGGTAGTGCTGGATTAATGGTTGGACTTGATGATCTTGAAGGTCCTTTCCAACCTAGTGATTCTGTGATTCTGTGTGTGCATATATATACATACGCATATATAAAAGGAATTTTAAGTATACTGTGTAAAATTTCGAGGCAATTGCTTTCAAAGATATAAAGGTTCATTGCAATTACTCTCTCTAGAAATGCAAATTTATATATGCAATTAGACTGAAAATGTGAAGAAGATAATTGTGATGAATTGACAGTTTTATGGTCAAGCAAAGCACGTAAGTTATGAAACATGATGACAGGGAAGCTTGCAAAGGACTTAATACGCAAGTGTGTGAAATGGCTTAAAGCTTGTTTCCTGCTCTGTGATCCTGCTATTGCATGCTGGTGTTTAACCCATTTGGAAAATTTGTGCATGTAGGAGTACACAAGCCTACTAGAACTGATAACTGGTATAGCTGTTGCTGTAGCTCAGTATTAAAACTTCAGCACCAGCTTTAACACTGTTCCAAAGTTCCAAATTTAAATCTTGCTCTTAGCTGTTTATATATAATCTGCACATATCTTGTTATTAGATCTACAGTGTTTGTCAGATGTGCTTTTCAACCTGATATAGCAATATTTAAATTAAATGATATTCACAAATGTGCACTCAGCCTGGGAATCTAAAAAACTCAGACTGGTGATTTAGTTAAACTGGCTTGAACAGTGCAACTCATTTTATTTGCATCAAGATGTTACTGGGACTGGGTACACTTTTTACCTCTTTACTGTTTGTTCTACAGGCAGGAATTTACTGGGTTAACCTAATAGATCACTTTTGTGCTGGATGGGGAATCCTTATTGCAGCTGTCCTGGAGATAATAGGCATTGTCTACATTTACGGTAAATTACTTGCACTGAAAATTCGTGATTTGACTATGCAATCCCAGACACAGTGTATATTAAACATTATCGCAATAAGGCATTTATGACTTAACTGGCTGAAAAGCGGTAATGGTTACCATAGAACTGGAGAAACTGTCCTTGACCATTGCTTGTCTCCTGTCCCTTTTGAGTAACCACGCCCACAAGGGAGGCACCTGCTTTACAATGCACTCTACAATTGTCTTTCAACAGGAGGAAACAGGTTTGTTGAAGACATTGAAATGATGATTGGAAAGAAGAGCCGTTTGTTCTGGCTGTGGTGGAGAATGTGCTGGTTTTTCATTACTCCTGTGCTGTTAATGGTGAGTGTAGATGACTGGATTGTGTTAGTGTGACAGAAGTTAGTAACTGGATATCAAAGAGGTTTCCACGTGAAGATTCAGGGCTGAATGCCCAGGCCCTATGCATAAACACTGGGTACGGCTGTGCCAGTGAAGCAAACTATATGCTATCTGTGCTTTCCGATACATACCGCTCCTCCTTGGGTCCTCTCTAGAAGAAGCTGGACCTTCACATCAGTTGCTAGTGAGCTGGGTCTACACTCCAAGGAGTAACACAGAGCAACCAGATTGCCCATTTTAGCAGCTGGATTATCTTCATTTCAGAGTGAGAAAATGTTTTTAAAACCTAGATTTTTCCCATTTGAGGGAAATCTTTTTAATGTCCTGTCATGTGTCTCAGTTTTTTGTTACTTGTAGTTCTAATTGTGAGTTTAGATGGTTGGATTGTGTTACTATGAGAGAATTTATTAAGATCCCAAATCCAGGAGCAGTGGCAAGTCACTCTGGCCAGCACATTGCCTTTAACCTATCCAGACTACAGTTTAGAAAATGCAACGTATGTATTCTCCAACATCAGATCTCAACAGAACCCAGAGATGAAGTTCTGTTTAAACATAGATGTACTTAAAGCATTAGGGTGCATATCAGTGTTGTCTTTCAGTTCGGTCCTTCAGTCTTACTGCTTGGCCATGACTGAACACCAAATCCTGCACAACCATTCTCACTCTCAGAAAGTTAGCCCTTTTTAACCAACTTGGAAATACGATGAAAGTTCAAGTTAGCTAGAAATCTGCTTTACTCTCTTGATCTTTTATAGGCAATTTTGATCTGGTCTTTGGTCACGTTTTCAACTCCCACTTATGGCTCAGTGTTATATCCAGCCTGGGGAACTGCTGTTGGCTGGTGCATGATTATCTTCTGTGTCATCTGGATCCCTGTTGTTGCTATTCTAAAAATAGTTAAAGCTGAAGGAAACCTTTGTCAGGTAAGGGCACAAGAAATCTGCCATAGCCTCAAATCTTGCTTTCCTTGGCATTATCAGGAGTGCCTGTGCTTTCTTCTCAAATACATGTTCGGTACTTTGAGGTGTTCGTTAATTGGATTTTTAGACCAAATAGCACCTCTGGTGGTTGCATCAAAGGCAAATTTACTGTGTTCTGATAAGAAGATAGTGTCTAATTCTCTGGGAGTGCACCCATACATTCAAGAGTGATTATTTTCAAGGTTTCTGTTGGTGCTCCAGCTGCTTTAAATTCTCTGAAGAATTCCTATCACTTTCTATCCCCGTATCACTTTCTGGAGTTCTGACTCCCATCCCTCACAGAAACAAGCAAGTGCAAGATCTGAGGTATGCTCTCCTTGCCAAGCTTTGACTAAGAGTCTTGTTGGTCACAGCTTTGCCTGATAGTTTGACTTCAGTGTCCAGAATCCACTGAACCCAAAGACATTTGGAATGATTTTAAAGAACTTTGGTGATTTGTTTGCCATTTGTTGAGTTGCAGGCCAGATCTAGAGTTACAGCTTTACTGAACTTTAAAACCAGCCCATACTAAGGTAAGACATCACATGCCTCTTGTTTTTTTTGCTTTCCAGCGCATTGTAAGCTGCTGCAGGCCCACTGCAAACTGGGGTCCCTACCTGGAATGTCACCGAGGAGAAAGATACAGCCATGTTGTAGATCCCAAAAAGGAAAAGGAACATGAGATTCCTACTGTGTCTGGCTTTGTATACACTCAACAATGAGATGGCCATTTGGGTGACAGATTTTTAACATATGTGTGTTTTTTTCGTCTAGCTCTTAGAAAGTGACAATGCAAAACAAGAACAAAAAGCAAATCAATCCTCTGCCCTTCAAAACCCAGCCCCCCAATGAAGCGAGCCATTTTATTTATTTTTAGTGCTGTATGTTTGGGGAAGAACCGGTAAATTAGACACCAAGATCTCCCCAGATATTTAGGTTGAAAGGGCAGGAAAATGCGTTGCAATCTTCCCAGGCTGATGGACTGGGCATGGACAGCCCCATCCAACCAGTATGCAGCTGGACTGCAGATACGGGTGTGGAAGAGAATAAATACACATTCTGGTGCTCCCCAGCTACAGGAAATTTGAGCCAAAAGGTGCTGTTCTTGCATGTCCTGACATGCTCCGGGCAGTTTACTACCTTCTGTTGTGCTTTGCCATCCACAGTGGTGTGCAGTTGGCAGAGAGGTGAATCGATGTGCTGCTGCTTGGCACTGTAGCTCAGGAAACAGGAATAATTTTTCTCTGTCTAAGCCTTGCTCAGTGGTGTGAGGCTGCTCAGGATTTGATGTTGCCTATAGTGTGTGTGTCTTGCCTATGCATCTAAGTACTGAGTGGCAAAAAAATGCCATCACAGGAAATAAGGCCTTAACAAGGTGAAAAGCAGGCTTCTTTCTAATTCTCATTATTCCCCTTGGGATCCTCAAAGAGCCATCTTTTATGTCATGCCCGATGCTCAGCATTTATCTGTCTTTAATTAAAAAATCCTGTGTTTCCATATTCTGTCATTAAGCTCTGCAGAATGGAATCATAACCATGGATTTCTGGTGTGTTTGCTCTCCTACACTCACCAAGGCTTTACCTATCAGTTTGGGGTCTGCATCTTTCACTCAGGCTCGGGTTTTCCCTTCTAGAGGAAACCCAAAGTGCTTTTTAAAGATTCAAACAGTGTTATTAGTGTTGTGGCAGAGCCAAAAGAAGCAGAACTTTACTCCAAGTGAAGGTTACAACGGCCTTGTAGTGCTATTACTCCAAAATTTGCCGAAATCATGAGATTGTGTTCCCAAATGCATTACAAACTTCCTAACTTTTCAACAGACATATGCTTCTAACTAGGCAAGAGAGGGTTAGGTTAAGAGAACTTGACTTCAATCATAATACAAGTGAATTCCTGATAAAGGAAGAAAAGACGTCTGGATTGAATGCATACATTTTGTGTGCTGAGGAACGTATCTCTTTACTGTGATAATGGTTCCTTGGGAACAACACAGCAGGGTTTCTAGCTGTCACTTCCTCTCAGGGCTTTCTCACTGTTTCTGGACATGAAGAAGTGTGGATAGTGGCTTGTTGCCCAAGCTGTACACCTTGGTGTTATGTTTTATACTGGTCTTTTTGTGACAAATCAACGCTTTATGGCAAATAAAATGTGATTTTCTGTTTTTAATGGTTTTGGAGCTGGAAAATGAGATTTCAGCCTTTTGTATGGAGTTGGGGGGAGGCAGTTGGTGGGAAGATCCTAAGCCTTTGGGAGACTGAACTGGAAAGATTCAACCTCCAGGACTTCTTTTCTTATAGAATTTAGGATCTAGTGCAATAACTGTGTTTTGGAGTGGGCTTGGAAAATACAGAAAGTAATTGAGTGGGAATTTATAAAAAGGACTGTGGGATTAGAGCCTGTAACATAAGCTGGTGAAGAGGACCCCTTTCCTGCACTCCTGCTGCTCTAGGGTCATGGTCTAGCCATGAGCCAGCAGAAAACAGAACTGTTGCTGGCCCTGATCTGTGGAGAGGCTGGGAGCGGGAGGGAGGCTGAGCCGCAAAGCTGCCGTGCTGACCACCCAGTGCACTGTCCATTGGAGCTGCCCAGTGGGCAGCAGTTCCTACCTGGGAAGGGACAGGCTGTGGGAAGGAGAGGGAATTTAGTCAAGCAATGAGTGAGAGCGCTCCAAGAGGTGGTGGGGAAACAGGCTGGTCAAAGCAACTTCAGAAAGCATCCAGGAAAGTTTTGGCAAAAGAGATGCTGAAGCCAAATACCAGCTGCCCATCCACTGCCCTGCAGGAACCCCCTGCTGCTGCGCACAGGCCTCCTTTGAGGCTTCTTCTGCTCTGGACTTGTTTTATGGACTTCTAGAAGTTGTTTCCATGATCTTGCATCATCTAAACCCCCCTGAAAAGTGACAGAAGACAACTTCTCAAGGGCTGGGGATCCAGTTTAGTGCTTTCTCCTTCCTCCAACATAAGAAACCCCCCCAGTTCTCAGGCAAGGTTTGCTCTCAGAGCTCTGCATGAGCGTGTCTGACAGCTTCCCAGTACATCTAGTCTTTCTGTTCCTCTCTTCGGGTGAGCTGATTTAATCCTTTATGTTGCTGACTGCTGACATATGCTGAGGAGTCTCAAAGACTATTTAGGAATTGACATTAGTATTCCTCACCCGTCACAGCTCGGGCCCAGCAGCTGGGGTTGTTCAACAGCCCCTGAGGGTTACGTGAAGAAGTGGTGTCCCTCAGCACTGCTTTGGAGGCAGGCTGGACCCAGCAGACCTGGATATATTCCTCACCCATGCTGGCTGGTGCCCAACATCCTGGTGTTTGTTGGGTTGAAAAATCAGCAGTGCCAAGCAGTGCAGTGTTCCTGGTAAAGGAGGCTTGGTGCTGAGCAGGCGGTTGAAATGCCTGGGGTTTGGGATTTTTTTTCTTTGAGAAAAAAAAAAAAAAAAAAAAAAAAAAAAGAAGAAGAAAAAAAAAGAAGAAAAATAAAGAAGAAAAAAAAAGAAGAAAAAGACTTTGCTTTGGATCAAGCTAAACAGGAGTGAAAAGAAAACTCCTGGAAAGAAAAGTAGAACTGGAACAGAAGTACATTCACTTTGGAAAGGCTCAAAATGCAAGTATGTTTCAGTCAGGAAAGAGAACGTAGACGTGTGCAATTCCAAAAAGCCACATCTATAACATGGAAACATTCTATAACATGGAAACATTTAAAAAGAGGTATTTCAACTGGCATTGGTATCTGTATGTAAAGCGATTAGTTAGGGGCCAAGCTTATGAAAGCAAATTTAAGCCCCCAAAGTTATTTCTATTGCAGAGACTGTTCAAAAACATGAAGTCAAATTAAAAAAAAATTAATTTCGTTTAATTTCGTTTCTACCCCATCGTCTCTTTGCAATAGGACGTTTCCAGCCGGGCTGCGTGGCGGTGTGTTAACCAGCAGAGAGCAGCATGTGCTCGTGTCTTTGGCTGCACTCCCCACTCGCGGAGTCGGGGCCTGCGAGGGGTCGGCGCTGGCCCACTCGCTTGCTGATCCGGGGCTGTGGAGACTGCTGAACAGTGTCTGAGCTTTGAATCAGGCTGGCCGCAGCGAAAGGTCTTCTTTATCCTGTTCCAGACGTGTGAAAAAGATAGCTGGTGCTCCCGTTGCGCTCCTGCGCGGCTTCGAGCCCAGCGTTACGGTAGCGATACGGCTGCCCTGCTAAGGCTGCTCTGGCCTCTGCAGGCTGGAGTTGACCACAGGTTGTCTCAGCAGACCGGTTGTCCCGGTAAGCGGACCTTCCCAGCCCCACATCGCAATTTTATGATACTTTGTGCGCCCCGACGTCCCCAGAGTTCAGCTGACCCTCAGGCTGTTTTCGTTCTCCATGTCTGTGAATGAAGTGGCCTTGCTGTCCTCTTCCTGGCATTTTTTTTTTTCATTTTTTTTGTAAGAAGCATCAGCATAGCCCCAGAAGCAGCATGCGTGTATTTAATTGAAGTCTTTCTTTTCTTGTTTCAGCTTTAAATCTAACTTCACATCGTTTTGTGGGTCTATAGCAGGGCTTTGTCTCGTCGTTTGGCTTCAGATCCATGGCCGCGGCTGTGTTTGTGGGCACCGTGGCACAGCAGTCAGGCTCTGAGGGATGGGGCATCTCCCACACAGTTGTAGCGTGGCCATTCGGAGAGGGATGAATGAGGAGCAAGAGGTACCAGCGTGTGAGCGGAGCTGACCTGCTGGGGAGTCGCACCGGCGTGAGGAGGTGATTGCACAGCCCATCTGTTGAGGGCACAATCATGCATTTTCTGTGAGTCACCTTTTGAATGGGCTGGGAATGCTCCACCAAGTCTGATCCAGCAGAAAATCCCAAAATGTTCAAAACAAAACTGGTTGTGAAACAGATTAATGTCTGCTGGCCGGGGGCAAAAGATTTTACATTGTTAGAAGAACCTGGTTTCAGTGATTTCAGTAGCATTTGCTTTTTAGTCCAAATAGTCTTTGCTTTGGAATGTTAGTAAATACAGACTACAAAGTACCGAAGAAGGAAAATACTGAAGTTTGAGCAAATAATGTTTTAAATTTCAAGAGGTATTCGTTAATCTGAGCTGCTTTGGAAGGGAGATGAGGGGGAAGTTGACATTTTGACCTCTTGATTTGGAATGAGGAAATTGTTGTTACTACTGTCTGAAGGATGAGAAAAACCTTTTCCAATTTAGCTCTGTGATGCAAATAAGGCAAATGCAGGCAGGCTGTTTCAAAGAAAAAAAAATGTATTACCCTAACGATCTCAGTTATTTTTTAAAATATGTGGTCCTCCGTTAATGGGATTCTGGGAGCCAATATCTAATCTCAGATTCCTGTGAGTCCCAGAGAAGCTCTAGATCCTCTGTGTAGATTAGCCTTTTGGGGAGACAATAGACGGGAGGGGGAAGAACGAACTGAAATCTATCGGCTGTAGGTAAGTGGCACTTGACGAAGGAAATGAGAAAAGACGACGATATATTCAACTGATTGTTCCCATGTAAGCATTTTTTCATTGAATTTTGTGGATTAGTTGTTTGTAAAAATATGGGGTAACTGGGTATATGGGTAAAACTTTGCACTCAAAGCTCTGGTTTGGGCCAGAGCATGTAGAAGACCAAAAGACCAGCTCCTGGCTCTGGTTCTTGTCATCCTCTCCTGCCTCAGCGGGGATGCAGGGGGAAATGAAGTATGTGTGATCTGAACTGTATGTGAGGAGAGATTTTCTTCCATTGCTA